ACACACACACACACACACACACACACACACACACACACACACACACACAGAGGACTCACTGCTGCACAGCACAACTCCAGCTATTAAATCTTATCTGAAAACAGCTGTTATCGTGTGAATGCTGAGTCAGCATTTTTTCTTTTCTGTTTATAGCTTCTTCCATTCGGACTCTTAACAAACTTTCAGCTGTTTCGCTCATTAAGGTYTCAAAACCTTCAGCTCGTTCAGCACGTTACGGCTAAGACTTTTAGCTTTTCTAACTTTGATACTTCCTGGTCTTAGCTTTGAGCATCTGTTTTAGCTAATCTTAGTTGTTCTGGTCATTTTAAATTTGCTGTGTTTTGGCAGAAAGTTCTGGTTTCTCCTCGTTTGACCCGCAGCGTCTCTCTCTCTCCTCCAAAGATTGGAGGTGTTTGTTCCGGGCAGGTCAGACATTTGTTGCCATCAGCTGTAAAATCTATTTAAAGTCAAATCTATTTTAGGTGTTTTCATTTGGGACCAGGAGCAGCAGCAGCTGCACGTTTAGAGGAAAATAGAAACATGAAATGTGTTTTGTGCCTGGGGGATAATAAGAATAAAATAATAAGAGTTTAGTAAGCATTCTTCAAGGAGAATACTTAAATTTATTAATAAAATGACCAGCTTTACATCTTTGTAAATTCTCTGTCGAAGTTTTGAATTCAGCAGCTCTGATGCAAAACGGTCAGCCGGGTCCGACCAATCAGAGAACAGCACCGTTTGTCTCTTTCTTTCTTTTTTTTTTTTTTACACAAAAAGTACAAATAATTAAACTGTTTCAAATAAAATAAGGTCTGAAGCTGCAAATATTAATACTTTACTTTTCAAATTATCCTGCATTGATTAGTTATTAATAATTATATTAGAGACTTTTAAGTGTAATTAAGAATTAAGTAGCTTTTGGAAAGATGTGGGAAATAAGAAAAGAACTTTATTTTATTTTATTTAAAAAAACGTAAAGAGTAAAATCCCTGCATTAAAACTGTGCATGTTTTAACACATTTAAATGTACCAATTATTAAGATGTATTAAAAAATTTCACCACTTTCATGATCTATCTGAGGCAAATCAAACTAATATTTCAACACTAAACTGGTTAATTGAATGTACTGACAGCTTCTTACATGAGGAAGATTTACTATTTTATCATTTTCACTTCCTGTTTTTAAATCTTTTTAAAATCACATCTTTTCTCTGACTTTTGTGTGATTTATTTCCTGTTTATTTTTCTTATATAATGATTTTTTGCTGTTTATATTAACTTTTTTCCTTTTGTGTTCAGCAACTTGCTTTTAAATGTGCTTCATAAATAAATTTGATGATGATTTTACTGAAATTTAAATATATTTGTGTTTTGGCTTCCTGGAGGAGATGAAGATGAGACAGAGGAAGGCTGAGTTGTGTAAGAAATTAAACTATATATATATTTCATTCACTTAATTTGTTTCAGTTAAATTAAAGACCAAGTACTGAAAATTGTCTGCGTTATTACCATTATGGTCKACCTTTATAAACGATGTTACATCGAATCTCATCTGTTGGAGCACTGAGGATGATGCTCAYCTACTACCACACTAAACTATAGCTCGTTAACATAGCCCCTTATCATGTTGGCTCTGGCGGCCATKTTGAATCAGGTTGGCTCCAAAGGTTAATCAGCTGTAGGTGCACCTCCAGAGTTTACTTCCTGGTAGTTTCATTAAAATATATCTATGGCTTCATGAGATATTTTGCTAACAGACAAGAGTTAACTCCCAATAGTTAAAAGCAGAGATTTACCAGTAAGCTACCAGTAACTAGTTGCAGCACTTAGAGTATGTGTTAGGGATCAGTCTCAGCTACTACCACACCAAATTTCAGCTAAATATCTGTAAATAATGACTGAGTATACAGACTTTTGAGTTTTGTAGGATAAGTTGGCTCTGGCGGCCATCTTGAATCAGCTTGGCCCCAAAAGTTAATCAGTTGTATTTGTGCATTCAAAGATTAGTTCCTGTGAGTTTCATAAAAATCCATCAAAAGGCTCACGAGATATTTTGCTAACACGTGCAAAAACATGGTCGCCCGTTCCGCTTGCAAAAGTTGAGGTTCTGACAGGTTCTGATTTGGACTCACCGTGGGTGTAAATGTTCCCCAGCTCGTTGTGCAGGTAGAACAGGCTCCTGACGCAGTCCTGCACGGAGGAGATGGGCCGGTACCCGGTCAGGACGTACTTATTGAACTGCAGGTGCGGAGGGGAGCTGGCCCAGTCCAGCAGCCTGGGTCCGTTCAGGAACGCCATGGCGAACAGGGCCGTCAGGAGGACGCCGCCGAACAGGTAGAACCCGGAATGCACGCCCACGTACACGTTCAGGAGGACGATGGTGACCAGGACCTTACGGGAGAGCATCGCCGCGCCGCCGCTGTTGGTTCCGAACGCCCGGTGCCGGTGCGAGTGTCATCCGCAGGGCTGGACGCGGGCGCGGGCGGCCGGACTCATGGTGCACGCTGCTCGGGACGCTCATTACACGCTGGTTCGGCATCCGCGACATGTTCGCGCGGCACCTCGAAGCAGGAGGAACGGAACCTTCCTCGCCATGTCTCGTCACTTTAATTCAAGGCTCCTTCGGACAGGTGCGGCAGAACCGAGTCGTCCCAGAACGGCGATGATGATGATGATGCTGCGGCTCCAGAGAGAGGAGGAGGATGCTAGCTGGATCCCGACCGTCAGGACCGGACTGTAACCGGGGACAAGGTTCTCCTCCGTCCTTCGGTTGATGGATATCCGTGGAGACGCGTTCAGGAAACAAAATGAGAGCAGAGATTTTTTTCCTTTTTTTTTTTCTCGAACCGGGGTGTTTTCAAGGACTAGTGGTTCGGTTTAGCAGCAGCAAGCCGGGCAGGCGGCAACCAGCGTCCGGCGAACGAGGAGAAGGCGGAGGAAACATATGTTCGAGTCGGCTTCCGCCCCAAAACCCGAGTCCCGGTCCGTTCGGTTCTGTCCGTCTGGGCCGCTCAGACCCATTCATCCACTACTATCATGTCCACCTTACGGTACTCCTCGTTTAGTGGATCCCTCTTTGTCGGCCTTGAGTCCCCCTGCATCGCCTCGAATCGTCAAGCTAAGCTAATGGAACAGAAACTTCCGGTTTGCGCTTTCAAAATAAAACACGGATCGTGGAACATGCCAGAAACACTGATTTGCTTCATATTTGGACAAGAAACCTTGAAAACAACAAAAACAGTTTGAAATGCTCATATAATTATTATAGTATATATATAAAACTTTGAAATAAACTGAAGCACTTAAAAGGTGAAGTAGATGCTCAAAATCACTGCAAAGTTACCCAAAATGACAAAATAAAAGCCATCAAAAGATGCAAAGTAAACCCAAAAGACCCCTTTGGATCACAATAAATAATAAACGCTAATTCAAATTAAACTGTATATCATTTGTATTGATTTATATTAATACAACTGTATTATTTATTTGAATTTCTTGAGTGTTCACTGTTGTAAACTCCTAATCAGTTCATACAATAAGAGCCAAGAAATATGGAAGACCATCTCTGCCAGTCTTAAAAAACAATTAAAGTTCCTCTAAGTCAAAACAATACGATTTTGTCATACTGTTTCAATAGGCCTTCAAATCTTATTATTGTGACGGCATCTCAAAATTAAAAGATGTTAATCACAATTTAGTATTCAAAGTCAGTATTTAAGTCTACTTTTTGGGTCTTTTACAGATGCCTTTTTTGTTGACTTTTATACACAAACATACAGCTGTCACGGTTGAAAGAGGTTGGAACAGAAACACAGGGTAGCAACTAAACACACACACAATAAACATGAAAAATATTTTGAAATCAGACAGCTCAATGCTGAATAAACACAGATCACAACAATACCACGGTGTCACTGACAATACTGCATTTTCCATACACCTCAAAAATATTTATTTAAAAAGCCCCCCATATTCTCACGTACAGCCACAGACAAAACCCAGGTGTGAAGGTGGGAAAACTAACACCTCACTGCTCAGCCAACCAAGAGGCTTACGTTCATCCGGTTCATCCCTGCTGCTTTGTTCTTAAAAGACTAAACTTCAACGCAGATGCTCACAATCTGATTCATGCAGCAGCAGAAAAACATCTCTGACAAAAGGTAAGTCTGGGTCAGCGTGCTTCTGAGACATTTCAAATAACACTTCTTTTATAACYACGTAATAACAAGGTACTGCAACCATAATGTACGTTTAAAATAGGAATTTAAACTTGTTTTCACACTTATCTGAGATGTTGAAATTAGAAACGTGAATTAAGCAGTTAAATGCATTAAATAAAAGAAGCTCAATGACAGAGCCTTGGGGGACGCCAGGAAGAATTGTTTCCTGGCAGTAGGGTAAAAATAAATCAAGTGTTTTTAGATACCTGGCTGTAACCACATTGTTTTTAAAATAGAAATTCTGCCTGACAAAAATAAATGAAAGTGAAAGAAAACTGTAGCTGAAATTTAAAAATGAGCTGTTGCAGTTAGTTTTAGTTGTCAAATCTGTTCATTTCAAAGTTAGAAATAAAACCGTGTTTCTAGAGAAGCACATTACAGTAGCTAAATTTTGAATTTAGAAAAACATTTACCCAAGATTTGTATTTATTAGACATAAAACTCTCTGCATTCAGGAGCACATTGACCATGGACAGTCATTTTGAAACACCAGCCCCCTGCCCTCCTGAATATTACAAAGAAAGAGAAACAACTCACTTTGTTCTGCCATCATATTTTTATTTTATATTTGAAAGGAATATGAAGTATGTGGTCAGCAGTGAGCTCAGCTTTACCATCAGAATTCATGCAACACCACTCCACGCTCAGAATGACTGCAGCAGTAAATTGTGCCAAAATATGTTTTCCTTGGTTTATTAATGATGTTTGTATATTTAAACCAGCTTTATTTGGGGTAACACTTCTCTGCTGCTGGTATTTTGTGTGACAATCTGAAAAAACATGGTAKTTAAACCATTAGAGTTATTATTGTTATTTATTTATATATTTATTTTGGTTGTAGCGCTCAAGGGTGAGTAATCTTTTATTCACTATTAATAACTGTCGTTCTTTATTTTTTTATCAAAAATTTTGAAAGGGCAACAGTTTAATATCGGAAGCTCATTTAAGCACACATTAACACTAATTTTTCCGATTTTAAACAGTTTATTGTTAAGTTTTATTAATTAACGCTGCATGAATAAAAGATGAAATAAGCGCCTTGAGAGAAGCACAAGTTGGTCCTGTGTTTGGAGCAAAAATATTAAATAATTACTAACTAAAACCAAGTGATTTTGAGTAAAATACACAAMACATGGTTGGTCTATTAACAGTAACGGTCGTTTTAAAAACTTCAGCTATAAAATAGAATGTATTGAGAGTATCTGATCACATTGGTTCTTAAAGTTGGGGTCCAGGCCCAAGTTTGGGTCATGAAACACCAAGAAGAGGTCCTTAAATAACCTCCAGATTAGGAATGCGCGATATAAACGATATACGGTAGAAACGATATAAATTTGTCATATGATAGAGATCTGTAGTCTACTGGCCAACCGCGCAATTCTTTTTGATGACGTAACCGGCTGGAGTCAAAACAGAGGAAGCGGGAAACAGCCTGGCTGAGAGCGCAAATGAGGAGGGAAAAAAAACATAACTTATCCGGACCTGGTTCAGGTGTGTGAAAATGAACGCCAAACTGTTTACATGTTTACGTGACGGCGCGTCCAAAGTGTMTAGAAAGGAATAAATACAAGCAATTTGTTTTACCACCTGTCGTGGCTAGCCTTTTCGCCAGGGCAGTGATGTGGGAAATAAACAAAGTGGAAACTGTGTGGTCTCGGTCTCAGATTATGACCCGGAAACAGGAAAACAGACAATATATACAGTATATTATTACCGCCACCCATCATAATGTATATCGTGATATGAATTTTTTGCCATATCACACATTCCTACTCCAGACATCAACCTACATTTTAAAATGGGTGAATATTTTCACTATACATACAGAAAACGGATCAAAACTTTTGCTTATTGTTAAAAATTAATCTTTAATAAAGAAAAATAAATCATTTTTGATATTGTCAATTTTGACACAAGCAGTACATTTATCTAATTTTTTGTTTTGTTTCCAGTCTACATTCATCTGAACAACAGGAACATGCTCGTGGTTCATATCTGCATGGGCCTCCTTCTGTTCTCCCCTCAGTGCACGGACCAGCTGTGCACAGAGGGGAAAGCCAAAGAGTGTCAGGAAGCAGAGTTTGTTCCAGGGTCTAATTTAGCTGGCGAGGGCTTCGACATCACCAAGATGGAGCGTAAAGGAGCGTACGTGCTCGACATGAACCAGTGGAGGCGTAAGGATAAAACCTGCACCCTGTGCAGCAACCCCTACATGGAGAACAGGAAGCAGAAGCTGCCCCTGTCCGTGGTGGACTGGAGGGCCAAGCAGTCCTGCAGCGCTTCAGTGTCCTCCAAACTCCACAAATCCAGCGAGTCCCTGGTCAGCTCCAGCTCCTCTTCTGTCGAGAACAACTGGAAAGTAGGTTTGGAGTTACAAACTTTAAAAACAGGCGCCTCCCTGATGCTGGCGGGAACCAACTCCAAGCTGGCCGAGTACTCCATGGAGAAAACAAAGAACGACAAGTTCAGTTTTTCAAGCCTCAGCATGTCCTGCAAGTACTACAGGTAAGAAAATGAGGTTGTTTTTTTTCCCCCACATTCCTCTGTGTCTTCAGGGGCGTAATGAGAAGAAAACACCACAAGATTCCCAGTCAAGTTGAAAACTGTCTCATGAGCAGTGTTGTATAAAGTACCACAAAGTGATACTTTAGTAAAAGTACAAGTATCTTACCAAAAATATACTTTGGTAAAAGTTAAGTCTGCTTCAGGAAAATTACTTGAGTACAAGRCTTAATAAAGTATCAGTTATTTTTTTGTACTTAAGTATTAAAAGTAAAAGTATTGATTTAAAATGAGCAGTTAGATTTTCTTTACTGACATTTATGAGGAGGTGACCTCCCCCCAAAAAATGCAAAAATGATTATATCGTATTAAAATAATTAATTTGTTAAATTTAGGAT